TCGTATCGGTTAAAATTGAACCACATCTTTGGTATTTGCATCATTAATAAACTTTTTTTTAAACTGGCGTTTATGCTTGAATCTTAACAAGGCAGTTAGCCCAGGAAGATGATGGTGGCCCAGCAGCTCTGTTGCTCACTAGAGTTTTCTTACACGTCTCTTGCTCCAGTGAGATCCAGGCGGGTTTCCAGCTGCTGTGTTCTCTCAGGTGAACACAAGGCTGAGTATGGAAGCCCAATGAACGTACTCAGGCTGGAGCTGGTTTGCTTAACCTTCTGTTATGATGCTTCACGTGCATGACCTCTCTTTTACCATCTCTTTTCCTTCTCTGGATCTTCTTCCTGGATGTAACTTGGCCCATGGCATCATATAGGAGTGCCTAAAACCAAACAAAGCCAAACCTATCCTGAGACTTATCTGAAGAATGAATTAGCACTCTGGTTTACCTGTCAGTAAAAACTGCTGAGTGCTACCTTTCCTTGGCTTCCATGAAGATGTTCTTTCCATAATTAAAAGACAAGAACCCATGGTAAAGTTTTGATCTGACCTTGACAGACGTCCCCATAGTGCAGTGCTGCACTGGGGGTACATTGATCTGGCATACAAGTGCTGAGACGTGCTCAGCAGAATTCTTACTGTTCACAACGACAGGGGTAAACACAGATCAGGGCTTTTGCTGGCTTTAGGATGTGGGGTTTTTTTGGTTTTTTGGTTTTTTTTTTTAGGATACTGCCCTTCTTGTGGTCTTATGACATTGAGTTCCATTTTCCAGTAAATAGACTACAGGTGATGGATTTGGGTGTTTCCTGAGTAGAACAATGCAACTCTACTGTTTTTGACACATTTCCTTTCATTGAAAGCAGGATGAATGAACTGTTTCTGAACGTGCTGCTTTATGTTTGCTGCTGTAGTGTTCCCTTATAAGGGTGTTTGGGACAGCTCAGAAATAGCAACGTGTCATTTTTTGTATTTGTATGCTTTAAAACAAAAAGTTGAAGAAGGCCTTTTGAATTTAAACACTTTGCAGCACGCAACAAAGAGTAACAGTTGCTTCTCTATGTGCGTTTGGAGTTGGTTTCAGGTAGATGGAGGTTTCTTATAAGCCATTGAAACAGTGCTGCACTTGCAGGGAAAGAAGAGCAGAAAGAAGCTAAGTTGTTAACTTTGTGCTTTTTAATAAATGTCTGAGCTTTGGTTTAACACTGCTGTCACTCGTTGGCTCTTGATCACGTCGTCAGCTGTTCTCTATACTGTTGTATGCTCCAGCTTTCTACATCTGCAAAGAAAGTGCTTTAGTATTGACTGTTATTGATAGCTTCTAAGCTAAACCAATGGTTTTGCAACCCAGACTGAGCATGACTCAATTAATGCTAGAAAGTCTGATACAACCACAGCCCTGCCTGAGGAAAGATGTGCAGTCCGCTTCGAAACTTGGCATTCTTAGAACTGGGGTATATTTTTGTTTGTAGTTACAGCGTTTGCACCATGTATTATCCCAACCAAACTGCACACAGGTCATGAAAATCTGATCGTGGAAACAAATCCTATGGTCTTGCTCTAATGTTTAGCAGCTGCTGGAAGTTAAAAAGAAGTTGGTGCTGCAGATGGTGCTTTGACATTCAGGTTTCAGCAGCGTGAATTAAAACCCTTTCGTATCAGTTGCTGCAGGTTTTGTGATGGTACCTGTGAGACGGGTTCCTTCTTAAAGTGAGGCAGAGCTTTGGAAAGGGGCAGGGCATGGGTTCCTCCAGGAAGCTTCTGTTTGAAATGATCCAGTTCCAGACTGAGGCAGTTGTGGAAAGACTTACCATCTGTTGAAAGATGCAAAGTGGCTGCACGTACTAATCCAGCAAAGAAGCGACGTTTGTGTGGAAATGAGCTTGGCTGCGTTTGGGGCCTTTTTTCTGGTACAAGGACTGCTCATAATTGTTTGTGTTAGCAAACTTGTGGGAAATACCCAGCATTGCATTTTTGTTTCTTTCCTTGAAATGGCAAGAAGATGCCAAAGTGAGAATGAGGTAAACGCAATGCTCTTCTCTTCACTGCAAGGCTGCCTCAGTCTGCTGCATCCAGCTTCCTCCCGTGGTTTCCCTCTGCATCTTGGCTCCATGGCAGACTGTCTGTGACTTCTCTGTCTCTCTCTTCCCTCCTCTTCCCTCCTCTTCCTCTTTGCTGACGTGGCACAGCCCTGACGCAGGGCTCTTGGTTTAAGTATCCTGAAGTGCAGCAAAGGCACGCAGACTGTTCTATCCACACTGCTTCTCTTCTCCCAAGTGGTCAATGTGGTTTCCCAAACCACTCTTTTAAACTGAAAGGATATTCTGCCTGACTGTTACGCAATTGTAACTCTCATTTCTTTACAAAATCAACTTATCCATGAACATCTGAATCCTGCTCCTTTCCCCGACCAACCAGTTGAAAAAAACTCAAGGTGTGCATTCTGGATAGACATTAATAATGTCTCTCCAGAGGTCCAACTGGTACGAAGGTGCTACTTGGAGCACATCAGGCTTGGTTTCTGCAGTGTAGGAGCAAGGCAGCTTATGTTTGGAATTAGGCAAATTCGTGCCCTCGAGTGCTTTTTATTAGCTCAGGGCCAAATGCATAGCATCAAGTGGATTTATGCTGCTTACTGTCAGGGTGAGGTAGTTTCAAGACTTAATAAGGTAGTCCTGCAAAAGGAACAGGACAAACGTGTTGTGTCATATAAAGTCAGGTCACAGATTAGCAAACAATAATCTGTTCTTTCTTGTTGTTGTGTTTTCCTTGGGTATGATTTCAAGTTCTCTGAAAACCTGAAGCCTTGCACCCAGGCACAAGTGAAGTACATCTTCCATACCTTCTTTAAATACCTCCAAGGCCCTTCTGCAATTCTTTCATGGATGCTTCTTTCTTATCTCCAGGTCACTTCTACGTGATGAGGTTCAAAAGCAATCTTGCAAATATAAGGGTTTGAAGACAAGAATGCATAGCTGAGAACCAGGATCTGCCAGTTTAAGTAACTCCTCTGTGTTAAAAGCATTCTGCTTTGAAATGTCTGACTTCAAGTGTCCTAGGACATCCCTTTGGGCTGCAGCTGTGTGAATTAGTCCAGATTGCTTCATTAAATCAACCTAAGGGATATATATCTTGTAGGCTTCATTTTGATTGGTATGTGCTGCTGTGGAAAAAGGAGATGACAGAAAATGTGAAAGAAAAGCAGCTACACGCTAAACTGGTCATCTGAAGTAGTGCTTTTAGTTTATTCTCCTACTGGATGTGTAATCCTTAAAAAGATGTTTGTGTCACAGGTGTGTCTTCTCTAACTGACATTATTCATGAACATGTAGGAATACAGGGCAACCATCTTTTCTATACTGGAGATCTCCTGTGGTTGTTCCTACCCATCCATGACATGAAAATCCATTGTGAGAGTGTGCGTATCGTGCTGCTGTTGTAAGCTTTCCTCCATGATGGCATTCCTTTCTCATCTTGAAGTCACTCTGGTAGGTAAGGAGAAATGCAACAAGGCTTAATGAAAGTTGTAGGTGGTGAATAGCGACAGTTCCTGGTGGCTGAGTTGTAGAAAGTTATGGCGTGCCTCTGCCCACTTAGTGCAGTGTTGAAGGTGGGGACCATGAGTCGCTCTGAAGACAGGTTTAGAGCCCATAGGGAGAGAAATCCAAATAACCGTATGTTCTTTGGGAAAAGCACTGACCTGTGAAACACCATTCCAGGGAAGATGTGCAACTCGGTCATAAAGCAAAAATCAAGAGTGTATTTTGGAGACGTATTTGGAAGATTTCTTTTTTTAAGCGTGCTAAGAGCCAGAATCAAGACAGTTTCCTTGGGATGGGATCCAGGCATGTTTCAAAAGCAAACTTAATGCACTCATCTGCAAAGGTGGACTTGTCGTGGCTTTGCATGTCCTTAAGAACCCACTCTTTAACCAAGAAGACCTGGCACTGAAAAATCCCAGCATCTCTTTGATGTGTGCGATAGTGCATACCAAGCATGGCCCTACTGCAACTTGTCCCCCACCATTAAAAAGAGCTTCTGTTTCCAGTTAGGTGGAATTTTTAATTGTAGAAGCACGTGGATATGCAGTTGTTTGACCACATATAGCTTAAAAAAACCCAAAGGGTTGGCCCACTGACTTTGCTCAAATGTCCGTCCTGAACTCCCATCCCAGGAATTCTGGTTGTGTTCAGTCTGGTTTGAGGGTGTTAAAAACAGAGTGGGAGGAAAACTCTGACAATTTCAGCAAACACTTGAGAAACAGGAGATCAAAAGTCACAGTACTCCATGGAAATCAATGTATGCTATGGGATGCTGTTAGTCTGCTTTTGTAGATCCTCATGAGGCTTCTTTCATGACACAGCTCTGCTAGTAGCTGTTTGCAGTGGATTTTAAAGGATTTCCAGGTATTTTTGTATTTGTCACTGCTCCTGGAATCACCATTGCTCACTTCCAAAGGATGCGTGGAACCTGAGAATGGGATGGAGTACCGAGTAATGCTGTAGCTTTGAATAAGCAGTGCCACAACGTTGTCTGGAAGGAGCATGTTCCCAAGTGGGAGCCATCTTCCTGCAACAGCCTGCTTTTACTGCAGGTGGCATTACTGTGATGCAGCAGGTCGGCAGCGCGCTCGCATCAGCGCATCTCCTTTGGGCGCAGCACCGTTTTGCTGTCACAGCTGTTCACAGGTACAGACCAGCTGTTACTCTCCCAAATAACTTGCAGTCTGAACTGACAGAAAGGCAATGGAGTTGCAAATGCTCAGTCTGAAGTTTTTCACACCGTACAGAATTTTCCCAGTAACTTGAAAAAAGTGACTGAATTCAATGCGCTTTCTCAAAAACTACTTTTTGCTTTATTTAGAAAGTTAGGCTGAGGGGAGAGGAAGCAGGAGAAACAGTATAAACACAAATGCAGGAGTTTGGATAAACAGACTTCTTTCAGGTTTCTTCAGCTGTTCACCAGCAGTGAAGGTAACCCATCTTCTTTTTCATGTCTTGCAGGAAATCCAAGGGAAAGCCAAATGGTAAAAAGCCAGCGCCGGAAGAAAAGAAACTTTACCTAGAGCCAGAATACACAAAATCCAGAATTACCGACTTTGAATTTAAGGAGCTGGTGATGTTACCACGAGAAATAGACCTCAACGAGTGGCTCGCCAGCAACAGTGAGTATTTTGATCACACAGCCCTCGAGATTGCTGTCCACACCCAAGCAGGCATTCATTCACTCTTTTTTTTTTTCCTTTACTGTTTTCAGCACTTAGAAAAGCACGCAATGACTATTTATGCTCACTGCATAATGCATGTCATTATACCCTGAATAGTAATTAAGCTGTCTTATACAAACCAACTGTGCTCAGCACTGGGGAGGTGGATGCGTTTCTTCCTCCGTGTTACTGTGGCACCAAGGGCATGAAAGTTTCTAACGCTCTTTTGAGGCCCGTCACTTCCCCTTCTGACTTCTCTGCTAAGCGTGCAGCTCAGTGTGTTTCACACTGTTGGCCTTCCAGAAGCATTGTAAAAATTGTAATTTAGTAAGGTTCTTATGAAAGCTGAGTTAACAACCAGAAGTTGAGGAGTCTTTTGGTTAGACGACTTCTCTCCGTTCCATCCAAGCTTTGTTGGAATTAGTGTGAATTGAAACTGCAGTCAGGCTAGGACTCAAAAGATGTGACCAACGACTGCAGTTGAGTGCTGTATCAATGAATCTCAGTTCTGATGCATTTTCTTGTGCTGCTGTGTGTGCCATTCTAACCTGTGGCTGTGACCCAATGTTTTCATTTCCAACGAGATGTGGCAGTAGCAAGAAATTACTTGGATCTGTATTAGAAAAGTTTAGAGTGGCTTATTAAGAAAAAGTGAGGGGGTCCCACAGTTTTAAAATGTTAGTATCTCAGGAGATTTGTTAAAAGTAGCAGTGTACTTGTTTTCATGCTGGTTTTCTCAAGGGAGATACGTCATTAGGACTGTTAATGTTGTTTTGTAGCCACTGTGCATTTTAAGTCTGACTTCAAAAGAATGTAGAAAATTGCTTGCCTTCAGCTTGTAACAGAGCATTCTACTGTAAAGGTGAGGCTGATGACAGAGACACTTTCCAGTCTCGCTGCTTTGTGAGTAATAAGAGCTGATGCATCGTAGTGCTTTCATCTTAAATCAAAACAAGAGCTTTCATTCTCTGTACCTCTTTGTTTTGCAATTCATCATTAGACTCATTTAACTAAATCATGTTTAAGTATGTATGCAAGCTTAAGACGCTGAGGTCACTTAACTTGATCTATTTAAATAATTGTTGGGAGGACAACCGGTGTTTGAAAGTATTTTATTTCTGAACTCCTTTCCTTTGTGTCTGTTTTTCAGCAACAACTTTCTTTCATCACATCAACTTACAATATAGTACAATCTCAGAATTCTGCACAGGAGAGTCGTGTCAGACCATGGCAGTGTGCAATACGTAAGTCAGTATTTACTACTACAGGGTTTCCACAGAGCCTCGGGAGGAGCTTGGGGAAGGAGGCTGGAATTAGGTGGCACGGGGCAAGCAGATCTCTTCGCTCAGTAAGGACACAGCAGCTGGGCATCCTTTTACCTCTTCTCAGTGAAGGGTGGTGTTGTGAAGGAGCAGGAGGACTGGATCTTTGACTGTTTGGAGCTGGTTTTATAAGGTAGGATCAGAGAGGCAAATTACTGTGTGTACAGCCTGCGGGGAGGAGGAGAAGAAAAAAGAGAAAATTTCCTTACTGGTAACACTGCCATAGAAGGCAGGGAAGGATGAATGAGTTGAAAAATATCCGGGAGTGCTTTCTGATAGCTGGAATGCTGGCAGAGCACCAGGCTGCTGATGGTTAACCTCTGGCATGACATGAGCCACTGGTTCTCTGCTGGAACCCCTGGGAGCAGAAGGCACAAGTGGCAGCTTTGCAAAGAGTACAGAAAATGTTTTGGATTGGCACTTTCCCTCTGCAGGACTTGGTACACTTGGTAAGTGTTGACTAGCTGTCGCTTAGAAAGAAGGCTTTGTAGCTGTACTGTATATGGTGAGCATAAGAAACATTTACCATAAACTCCTCTTGATTAGCATGGTCCAACATAATGGAATATGAGATCCCCTTCATTATGAATAAGCCTGTTATTTGGGTGTTGTTTTCTCTCCAGCGCGTGTTCATAGTCTTGTTCTTTCCTCCTTTTGCATCTCCTGGGATTATATAGTTGAGATGGATTTTAAAACCCAAGACTGAGTTAGTTAGTACTGAGCAGTGAGTACATCAAACAAACACCCTAGAGAATGTGTGGAAAAAAGCAGAGCTCTGTATTGTATCCCTAATGAGAATTAGGCAGTGCTTAACAGGAACCCTTGCTTTATGCACTAGGCTATCCTGTTATCTTGTACACTTAAAATTAGTATCAGGCCCTTTCTTTGACAGTGCTCTGAAGAACACAAAGTGCATGGAGGATATTTTTGTGTGTAAAAGTTGAAAAGATAACCGTCTGTAGAGAATGAAAAGCCATATTAGAGGCTTGGGAAGCAGGCTGGAACAGAAAGTAAAAAATCTCTACTGGGCCAGATTTTATCAAAAGTGGATGTGTCTCTCACCGAGAGGTGGTGAGCTGTATAAGAGTGTTTTGTTGATTCTCAATCCCAAACTTTCTCATGTTTGAATTATTAACGTAGTACTGGCTGTTCAAAGAACTCGTCTTAACTGTTAATCTAAAACTGATAGATAGGAAGCAGTGGTTCAGAGGAGGTGGCAGTGCTGCTCTGTTCTGCTGTAGTGAGCCTGTAAGCAGATTATGTTGCAGAATAAAGAAAGGAAGTGCTTCTGTGTGGCTTCAGCTGTATTGTTAGTGGTGAGGACTGATAGCACAATGTTCCTGTTCCTATCCTTTGTTTGGGAAAATGGAAAATTACGCTATTAGGGAATAACAGGAAGCATGTCTACACTTGGGTGAAAACTTGAAACGGTTTGTGTTTAGCAAAATGGTATCCAATTATTTTCCTGTACTTGGAGGCATATGACTGAGGCGCGTTTGCAAACTGCAGGCTTCATATTTTGTTCTTTTATGGAGCGTGGGTTCATCCAGCTCCATGCCTCCATGCAGGTCAGCCTTGAGGGGCCTGTTTATAACTGTTCTCCAAATATCTCCAGTGACAATTCTGCACAGCCCTTACTTGTACGTTCTGCCTTTCCTAGCTGTTCTCATGGATTGTGCAGAAGTGCCACATGGATGCATATTTGTCCATCTCCAGTCAGGACTATGACAAAGCCAGATTTTTCCCCTACTTTTTATTAAAAACAAAAACCTTGCCCTAATGAAGGTTAACAGAGGTGCGTTGTGTTGGAGAAACCACAGCTGATCAGACTTATTGTGCCTCTGGCTATTCTGCAGTATATAAAGCACATCAGTGAAGCATTAGAGCCAGCTGTTGATTAACCTGATAGACCTGGATTTGACCATCTGTAACTGTGATCCGTTTGTTGAGGCAGTTTGGAAATAGGCAGTGCCTACCCATGCTGGGTTGTCACAGAACTCCAGGTTCTGCAAGTAAGGGCTCAGTTTGCCACTTTGTTCAGGGCTGACTTCAGTAATTCAGTACAAAGTTCTGCCTCTTTTTCCTCCAGGATGCTTTCCCTACCCCCTTTCCCTCAGGCTTGGTTTGGGCCTGTTCTGGTGTTACCTAAGCAAAGTGTGTATTAAAGGGTGGAGGTGTCAAATGTGACAGAACGGGGTGCTGGGGAACTGCTTTGCATTGAGGCTTCCTACAGATACTCAATCCTAGGGTTAGAGGATGAGTTGACAAAATAAAAAGGAGTTGTACCTAAACAAATGGGTAAGGGTTGAACTTTGCTCCTGTTATACTTCATTATTTTTGTAATAGGCTTTCTTTCTGCTCAATCCTTTCTTCATTTCTTTCTGCCACTCACAACAGAGCTGCCACCTCCACCCTCTCTCCCTCTATGAAAGCTTAATGTCACCTAAATTTTTACAAATGTAACAAAATCAAAATCTGTACAATGTGAGCACTTTTTGAGAAGTGCCTTTAAATGTCTGTCTTCACTTCCTTTGTGCTTTTCATTTGTTCCCTACCATGGCACTGTGCTGTCACAGTGCCAGCAGTGCAGTGCAGTTTGCTTTCTTGAGCCCTTTGGTGGCCCCAGCCTGGAGAGAACTCAGCATGAGTGGGAGCTGCTTACAGGGCAGTCATGGAATGCCAGGGACACCTCCCTTTTTCTTCAAGATATGTCCAAGTTCTCTTCACAGCACTTCAAACATGAGAAGGACAATTGTAATCAACAGGCCAATCCTTGCTTTTATCCCCTTGGTCTCAGTTCCTTTCTTTTATTATTAGCCAAGACAAAAAGGTTACACGGTGGGATGTTGTAGCAGATTTGTTCAACTTGCATTGTCCTCTCAGTGAACCTGCACAGTTGCCAAACTGTTTCCTTTACCTAAACTCCAGTTATTCAGGTTGGTTTCTCCAGCCTGAGAAAAGTGAGGTGCAGACAGTCCTGTCTGCTCTTCTGCAACAAGCAAGAGTCTCTTGGGTCTTTTAAAACCAAAAATCACTCAGAGAGGTGCTTGGGATTGTGCTTCTCCAGCTTAAAGCTGGACTCGACTAAGGAAACAGATCCAGCTTAGATTTGCTCACTACATTGCATAATTAAGTCTTTATACATGGATTGTATAAATGAAATAAGCAGAGAAGAGTAGAGTCCATGCCTATTTCAGTGCCTGACATAGCTTTTTATGCCTGATGTTTTCATCCTCTTTCTCCCATTTATGCCATTTTGCAGGCAATAACAGAGAGACCAAGCACCACATGCTAAAAATGAGCTGAACTAGTTTTCAGTTGTCTCTCCCCTTTAAGTTTGAGCTTACCTCTGCTCTCTTTCCTCCAGTCTTCATATGGCCTAGCATAGACTAGGTCTACAGTCATCACATATTGCTACTGCCTTCACACCACCAGCCTCAGGTCCCTGATCAATCTTTCTGGGCAGTGACAACACACTGTAAATAAGAGCTTCTCAGTTGCTGTGTAACATTTTTCTTTAATGGCTTCAGAACAATTTTGATGGTCAGTGTGCATAAAACTCCCCTTTCCAAGTGGCACCTACAGGTCCTTGCAGCTCATTGTTGATCAGCCCTGTTAGGCAGAGAAAAAACATTTAATCCCTATCTCTCAAGGGAGAAAAAAAAAATAAAGTATCCAGAGGTGGTTAAACTTCACAACGAAGAAAGAAAAATGTTGCAAAGGAACTGAGAGGAGCAATACAATGTCTTTCTTATCAGTCTCATAATTAAGTAGTCCTGACCTGGAGCTCAGACTGTTCAGAGTAACAGTTCATGTACTGGAACTCAGATAACTCAAATGTTTTACAGATAAAGCAGTGGGCCAAAACCTTTGTTTCTTATCTGTAAAACATTTCTTACTGTGCGTATCTAATGCAGCCAATAGCTGCTTCTGGTCACAGAAGTGCTTTAATTAACCATGATTTAAAGAAACAAAAATAGAGGGAACAAAACTTCAGTGCTTTCTTAGCGTCCAGATTCCTTTCTCGGATGTGTGTAATAGTTACTCAGAGAATGTTTCTGTTCAGTTTTGATAGCTGATCAAGATGATGACGGCTAAGAGATTGAGCTCAGGTTGCTTTTCAGAGCCTCACAATATGCTTATGATGCCATTCCTTTTAAGATCCTACAGAATTATGCTCTGCTGGTACAATCAAATGTTAAATCCAAATGTTACTGGATTTTGGAAACAAAGGAGTTGGATTCTAAGGCACATGCTTAAGAATGTCCAAAAGGGTCGTGACAAGATTCCCCAGATGCTGTTTTGCAGCAGGACTTGTTAAGAACACTTCCAAATACCTCAAAGCTTTTTTCACCCTGGTGTTCTGGAGCCACCTTCTGTCAGCTTAATAATATTACACTACAAGTTTAATTTCTTTGTGTTGTCATACATCAGATCTCCTGTTTATACTTTTTTTTATTTATTAAAGGCAACAACAGTAGGATAGTTATAAGGCACCTTCCTGTGCAGCTTTGTAGGCTGTAGACCCTCAGTCTATCACGGACAGTTATACTGCCTCACCAGGGCAACTCAACTTGGAAACTTGTCAGCAGGATTTTGGGGCTCATTGTTACTTTCCTGTGCTCTGGACTAAATTGATGGGGAGAGGCAAACCTGACTAACAGAAATTCAGGGCTTTTGATGTAGGATGTCCACCTCCTCTGTGGCAGCTACGATTTTATTCAGAAATGCTGCAGTGGTTTTGTATTATTTAGAAACTCACCTCTTAGGAGTTCAGCTGAGGATGCAGGGCGTAACGTGACGCTGTGGGCTCTCTCCACAGACAGTACTACTGGTATGACGAGCGGGGGAAGAAGATCAAATGCACTGCTCCGCAGTACGTCGACTTCGTCATGAGCTCAGTGCAGAAACTTGTGACAGACGAGGACGTCTTTCCAACAAAATACGGTATGCCAGCCTTTGGATAGCTGCTTCCTACGGCTCTTTGGAGGTGCAAAAAAGCAAGGTGAAAGTTGACATGCAGCTTATACGTTCATACCAGGCAGCTTTCACAGTATATTTGTAAGGGGTTATTTTAATTTGGGTTCGTTCCTGCAGTGTCAAAGAATTACACTTCTGGCATACCAATTGGGATGAAGATCTCCCACTCCTTGGCTAATGTTTTGCCACTGGTACAGCTTTTTGTTCCAGGAAGCAGCCTGTGTTCAGAGAACAGTCGCCATGTGGGTATTAAACACAGCGTGTTGCCAGTAAAATTTAACCTTGTTATTAGCATTTCTTTCAGAACCCTGATGCATTAAGTGGGAAATAAATTGCATTGCCAGCAGCATCGCTCCTCTTCCCTGCCTAACGGGGCTTTTTTTCCTCAGATTGTTTAGTCTCCATTCCCTTCCAAAGATTAAATAAGAACAGGATTTTTCAGGCCTGAAAAACAACAGAAAAGTAATTTTCACTCAAATTTGTATCTTACAAGACAGCATTCCCTTCAATTAAGGGAAAAAAGGCTGATACCTGTGGAGCAGAAGTTACTGTAGATAGGCTTAATCAGGAAAAAAAGTAGCTGGCTTCTTAAATCTCTTTACTAGGTATCTGGGGAACTAGGATATTACAATGTTTTTGTGATGGCATTTGCTTAGAAAGAAGGCAGTTCCTACTAAGGTAGCAGCAGATAGGACTGTTATTTTGGTGGGTTTTAATATGCTAATTCAAAAGGGCAACGAGAGCCTTTCATCTAAGTGATCTGTCAGTGTGGCCAAGATGCACTGTAGACCAGTAACACACTTCTTACCACCCATCATGCACAGAATGGCTGCTTTCTATTTTCCTTCTTGCCCCAGTTTCACTGTCAGCATCACAAGCAGTAGTTGTCCAAGAAGTGTCCTACAGTGAGGGCACAGTACTGCTCCAGCAATCGTAATTCAGACTGCACCTGATAGAAGGCATCTGGTAGCCTTCCCTTACTTTTCTATCTGACAGCATTTCAATCATGAAATAAGGGAGGTCTGCCATGTACCTCAGCATCCATTTCATGATCTGTGACTACCAGATGTACTGTGTGTTTCCAGCCAAAAAATTTGCCACTCCTGAACAAATTATTCAAGAACCCCGAATAATCTCTCATCATTTCTTAAAGTAACAAAAAATGTTGTGTTTTAAAGACATTACATTTTCTTCCCGATTTTTAACTTTACAGTTTAAAGTCACAGAACACAGAATCATAGCCTTATCTTTAAATGAAATGCTTCAAACCGTACTTCTTTAAGGTGAGCTATCTGTGCTTACCCAGTTTTGCCAGAATAAATGGTGCTGTGGGACTGGAGGTGACCGGCTGGAACTGCTACGGTGTTTCTGTCTTCCTTTCAGGCAAAGAATTTCCAAACTCGTTTGAGTCCTTAGTGAAGAAGATCTGCAAGTACCTGTTCCACGTGCTGGCCCATATCTACTCCTCACACTTTAAGGAGACTTTGGCACTGGAGCTGCACGGACACTTAAACACGCTCTACACACATTTTATCCTATTCATCAGGGAGTTCAACCTGGTGGACCTTAAAGAGACCACCGTCATGGACGACCTCACGGAGGTCCTGTGCAGCAGCAGCGGGAGCAGCAGTAATGGGAGCGGCAACGGGAGCAGCAACAGCGCAGGAGCACAGAACCACGTGAAGGAGAGATGAGCCTCCTCCAGGATCAAACTAACATTAAAAACAATATTATATATTATGTGTGTATGTGTATGTATACGTTCAGATATACATACAGGCATATACAGCTATGAAAGCTGAAAAAAATTATGCTGCCACCCACAGGACGTGTAGTCATACGGGACTGTATGGAGCTTTGGTTTAATGCGCCACCTGGCGAGAAGTTGCACCAATTTTTATTTTATTTTCTGTCCACTCTTCCTTTTACCTATTCAGGTGGATGGTGAGTGCTGTTTTTAGAGAAGAGCCAAGCCTGAGAGTGGGGCCACTCTTACTTCTTTGTTTTGGTTTGGTTGTTTTGGTTTTTCTTTCTTTGGTCTTGAGTGCAAGCCCTACATCTTCCGAGGATGGGGGTCTTGCCATTTTAAAAATACCTATTATATTATAAGAAGTGACTTTTACTTTGAAGTGGCTTAAAATGCAGATTTATTTGGGTTTTTTGGGGGGCGGGGTGGTTTTCTGGTTTGGTTTTACATAGACTGCCCCTGGCCCCTGCCAAAAGCTTCCCAGTTGAGTGCATCTTGCCCTTTGCTAGCTTGGAATGGGAAGAAACTCCTGGCTTGACTAGAGCAGCAACTAGGGGCTTGCTACGTGTTGAGAGTGGGCATGATTCTCCAGTTGTTACATCTGCTTGGTCACAACATGTGAACGTGCAAGAGGATCCACGAGCCTTTCTGCTTATTGCTCCTACAACATATATGCTCTCTCCCCTGCTCCCTCTGCCTCCTCTTTTTATTTATAAAGATGTGCCTGGGAAAAGAGTAACATCACTGGTCTAAAACCAATGTGCAAGAGCCACCACCACGCGTTTCCCATTGAGTGGAGGCCCGGGGAGGGAGGAGAAGGGCACATTGAGTCCGTCACTGCCTGTGCTAGAAAGATGGCTGTTGGCATAAAATTATATTGTTGGCTTATTTTAGTTCATCTGTTCTATAATAATAAAAACAAATCTATCAGCCATGAGCTTTGTTTTTGTGTTTGCAGCGCCAAAAGTCACTGGAGTCTACCCCTAAAGCTTCCCTTTCACTACTGAATGCTCTTAACCCTGCTGTCAACCAGCTTTATAAACAGTTTGTCTTCCACCCTGTAAACTAGCATTTATCATCAATTTCTTGTCTTTTTTTCCTGGTACTGCTAGGAGTACCTCCAGGTAAACTTGCAGACTCCAAGGGAAAGCAACACACAGAAGGAAACAACTTTCCTGGCAGTACACACTTTCAAGTTCCTGCTATCTAGACATGCTCCTGGATACTTTGCAGCAAACACAGCATCACAGTGTCTGCATCAATAACATTACTTTCTCATCTCCTCTGAATTCTGGCACTCCAGAGTTCCAGTTGGTAAAAAGCCAGATTTGGCTTGCAATTGCACTTCTACCAAATCGTAGAGAACCATCTTTGTGAATTGTTTGTTACCATTTTTAAAGTATTTACATCATTAGTAACTGACATGGCACAAATTCCAGAAAGACTTCCTGAACAAGTTCTTTAACTGCTTTAGAAGTCAGTAAGAAAGGGGAGGTGGAGAGAAAGTACAATACAAGAGCAATGAGAACAATTTCACAGAGGAAAGACAAGGAAAAGCACAAGCAAGCAGAGAAGCAGAAAAAAAGCACAAGAAAACAATGGTTAAGTAATATGGCAGAGCAACCAAGGTAGAGGAAGAAAAAAAGCTTAGATGAGAATAAATGGAAGAAGTTACAGACATGAGGGGAAAATACGAGCAAGAAGACATGAGCACAAGGAAAGGGAAGTAGAGAAGCAAGCAAGAGAAAACAACCTTTGTCAGCCCAGGTGTCACCTTTCGTGTGTACACACTGTGGTGCGCTGTCAGTCAGCAGGTCGGTGTGCTGCCGTCCTGCTGACCCGCTCACCCACATGCTGTTAACAGCCTGGCCTGAGTGCAGTCTTTCCTCACCACGTCCTTCTGCTACTGCCACCACATCCCGATGGAAAGTCCCATTCTCTCTTCATTCAATGGTCTGAGCCTTCCATAACAACTCCCTGCAATAATGTCTGAAGGGAAAAAACTGTGTTGAGTTGGTTTATCAAAAGTGAGCAGAAGCTATCAGAACAACGGCATTTGTAAGGCCCCTGTACTTACAGTGTACCTGCAGTGAGCACAACAACCCAAACCCAAATATCCCTGGTAATTATCTACTTGTGAAAAGGCATCTGCAGTCTTAAAGAAGGGCACTTAGAAATGGAACACGTCTAGGAAAGGTTGCGTTGAACAAGAGGCAGCTGACTAAACCAATTTAGCTTCATGTTGTGAACTGAAAGTTAAGAGTCGTGATTACCAAATTGGTAATTGCCATGCCTTACCTTTCCATAGGAAGGGCTGACAGCACCTGGTGTGCCAGGAGCCCCGTGCCTTGACAAAGAGCTGTAACCAATAAATCAGCTACCAGGAAAATAGTAAAGTACCACACGCTACGTCTAGTAAAGCCAGGAGTAGCTCATGCCAGCTGTCCTGAGTTTAATCTGCAGACATTTTACATTTGTGAAGTACAGAAGCTTCACCTAGACAGTAATTTTTTTTTAATATATTTTACAACCAGCTTATGACAAAACAAATAATCTGACTTCAGTGTGGCTCACCCTGCTGATTTTAACAGTAGGAATAAGGACAAACACCGAAATAAGTGCCAACACTAACATTCTTCTGGCCAGGAGCAAACATTACTGTAAAAATGAACCTCAAAGTGTCTACACACGTTTCAGTGGTTACTTAAGTGGATTACACTGTAATAATGTAATGGTAAAGAATTGTCATGAAGTCCTCAAACAGCCTCGGTGATGCCACTGCAGCTTACCAATGACAGCCTATGCCCACCAAGCAGCCAAACTGAATACAAGAACTGAGCCCACATCCCTTCACATCTATGGGAGGGCATTAGGTCTCAACAAAAAGTGTCCGTAACTGTTTTAATTAAGGGTGCTTCGTGAATTGACCAAAGTGCTGCTGGAACAACAGAGCCACCTCATTATTCCAAGTCCAAACCATCTTCCTCTAAAGATCAATTAAGTGCTATGCTATTACTGCACAGCTGTTACATAAAACAAGAACCAAACAAAAACCTGAGCTATCATCCCAGCACGGATGCCTTTCGAAGGCCTTGTCTTAGATTAGACAAACTCCCAGCTTTACACTTGCCACTGCAGAACCCCAAACAAATCTCCAAGCCCAGAACGATGCCAGCACGAGCTCAAACCATCGCTGACTAAAGGTGTTCTTTTAAAAGTAGCCCCATGTGTGTTCTGTGAGGTTACACTCCCTGACCAGCTTTGTGCCCACTCCACAAAGTCCAAGAAGCGGCAAGACAAACTGAATCAGGCATCATCTACTTCAGCCCAGTAAAGACATCTCTACTTCCTTCTTTCTTCCATGAGAGCTGCAGTAAGTTACCAAGGCAGAAATCCCACAGAGCAATCTCTTTTTATGTATGAGCAACAGCCTTCTAGCCATGTATGTTAAGAGAAGTCAATCTTGCTTCTTATGGGACACTTTTCTGATGAGCACAAGCAGAGAGAGACACTCTGGCACTGAGGTACCCTCACTGCCAGCCAAACATGCTCACACTGAAGTGCAGCTGGAACTGCTCAAGGGTCTGAAAGGGCAGGCTATCAGGTAATGATTTCCTCCTGCACATTAGCTGAAGACTAAAAGAAACAAGAAATCCCAGAGAAGAACAAACCAGCTTTGTGAGAGCTTACCAAGTATGCTGGTCTTATACAGCTATGCTTCATCAAACAAGCCCACACTCATGCCTGCCATCTTCTAGCTTGCCCCAGCCAATCCTCAGTTCTCCATTAACAGAACAATTAGAAGCCAGAAATACTCTTCCACTATCAAACTGAGGACAGAGAAACAGGCTGTCTTATTCTGCCCAAACCCACTATGTGAGAATGCTGGTCATATCATTTGTGAATGGCAACACCAGCATGAAGCTGCTCCTAATGCCCAGGCCCTACAGCAGTTATGGCTGCACAGCACACAGTAGGGCTGCACAGCACACAGTAGGGCTGCACAGCACACAGTAGGGCTGCCAGCTGTGCTGCTGCGGCCCAAATACTGGTCCAGTACCTGAGGAGTTTCAAGACAGATCTGGTATCTTTACCCGACACTGACATAGGCAGCACAAGCAAATCCTGACATAGCAGACGGAGCTGATGAAATGGCATTAACAAGACACCAAGCAGCAGGCAGAGCCCCTCACTGTGCTAATGGGGGTCTCCGTTCTCTTCACAGACAGCAGTGAAACCACTCAGTCTGTGACACGAACAGTTGGGCTTCTCAAAGTGATGTCAGCGCGTGGTTCTGAGAAAACAGAAAGCGTTGTGGCCAAGCACCCAGACTGGAAGTTCTCTCATCTCTTCCAGACAGCCTTTTCTGGCTCTGAGCTAGAAAGGACCTAGAACTGAACCTGGCATCAGGAGTATTCTATCTTTACTTCTCCGCTGATGTTTCACTGTCTGCTAATTCTTTTCATTCCATCTATGACAGTCATTAAAATGCCCTGAGCCACTTTCCTGTACTCCAGCTCAGGCAGCTAACGTTCTCTCACAAAGTAGTGCAAGGTCCCTAACATAAAACTTTTTTTCTGGTCCCCAGATAACTCAACAAGTACAAAGCACGTGGGCTTGGCAGCCTTTCTGCTCAGCAGCTCAGATGGGAAGTCCATCGAATCACAGAATCGTTAAGGTTGGAAAAGACCACACAGATCGTTTAGTCCAACTGTCAGCCCATCACCACTGTGCCCACTGAGCCGTGTCCAACCACATCTGACAAAGCACTTGGGCTTCTGAGAAAAACCACTGCTTCACCTGACTTTAGGAAGGCTTAAAAGGCACGTGTCCAAAGCAAGTACTGCCCTTAGGGACTGCAAAAGGAAACCCAGACAGGGAAAACAAATCTGCCTTATAACCACCACAGGGACCCAAACAAACAGTTCAGGGATCCCCCAGCAAGGCAGATATGCAGCTACTTACAAAGGACAATCCAGAACAGAAGCAGAAACTGATACCAAAAAATCCACATTTATTACATTTACATGATATCTATATAAAATCCTTAATATAAAGAATCACTGTGTTCTTTTCAAGCAGGCTTAGTGACATTCAACAATTACAGAAAGTAGATTTGAATCCTTGTGGCTACAAAAGCTGTCTTAGTGAGAGTGAAAAGCAGAAGCAGAAAACAAATTGTGCCTGAAGATCAGCTGTACCCACTAGAGCAAAACAGCAAAAATTAAGGACGTTTTCAAGAGAGCACAAATAATAATAGTGAATGTTTAAATAGTCTCACTGGTTTAAAAATGGTTTCAAACTAGCTCAGATTAAATCTATGGAACAGGTGTTGTACTGTGACCAGAGCATCAAGGTTCCAGATTTGAGAAGGACTGCTGCTAGGGCAGGTAGTTCCTCGCACGCCTTCACATGAGATGAGCACCAAGAGCTCAATGAATACTACATTCATCACTGCAAACTCACTCATTTTTATACCAGCAGCACTCACAGCCTGCAGAGAAAAGAACCAATACTTACTTCAACTGCCCTATTGCCCTAGTCAACACATCCTATTTACCAAGAGCGGTGAGGTGCTGGAACAGGCTGCCCACACAGGTTGTGGATGCCCCGTCCCTAGAGGTGTTCAAGGCCAAGTTGGATGGGGTCCTGGGCAGCCTGGTGTAGTATTAGAGATATGGAGGTTGGTGGCCCTGCCTGCAGCAGGGGGGCTGGAGATTCATGATCCTTGAGCTCCCTTCCAACCCAAGTCTTTCTATGATTCTGTGATTGCGCCAACTGACCCAACAGGACACAAGCAAGTTCCCCATGTCACTCCTAGCAAGATGACATTCAGAAGCAGGTATGAGGAAGAGCAGTCAGGCACTGCAGACAGACGCTGGTAGGCATCCTGCTGCCAAACAGCCAAAAGAAGCCAAATGCTTGGGAAAAA